GCTTGAATATAGCCTCAAAAAACATACTCTAAAAGTTAGCATGAAGTAGGCAGCAGATTTTCTCATTTAGAAGCAACAGTATCGAGGCTAAACCGAGCAAAAAATAACAACTTATCACCGCACGCAACACACCATAGGGGAAAAACCATAAAGGTAAACTCTAATTGCAAAGGTACAGGAGTGAATTACAGTGTGGTGAAAGCGAAAGAACGCTCAAAGAAACTTGTAAACAAGTGAGCCTTTGGGTTTTGAACATTAAGCCAAAGCACAAGTGCCAAAACATGCCAAGCTTCAAATGGCCATTTGTTGCTGGCGCCAAAAGGGAGTCAATCCCTATAGACTACAGACGCCCATGTACAGCCTGGTACACAAGTGGTTTTGCTCTTTGTAGGTTATTTCCCCGCTCATGACACCTCTACTATGAGTCTTTGTCTCACTTGTGGCTTGAAGTTATAGTTAAATTAGCTTTTCTTGTAACAAATTGTCAAGGCCTTTTAATTTTGCTGTTTATATTTCAGCACTGACAGCCGCTTGGTTCAGTTTAAGATGTGACAAACAATGAGGTGGGAGTGACCACTCTGATTCACGAATGCTTTGACCAGTGTGTCAGGAGCAAAAATTTCCAAGGCCACCTTGTACCTGACTGAGCCACTAGCTTTGACAAATATACAGTAATTAATGCTGGCGGGATGGGAACAGGCTGTACTGATATCATAAAACTCTAATTAGCCTACTGCAAATACAGCCCTTCCGTATACTACACCAGTGGTTCTAAAGCTGTGGTGTGGAGGCAAGGCAGGTAGAGTACAGACAAGCAGGGAAAAAAATATGAATATGAAAGTCGAGTGAATATGAGGTTGTTGATGCTGGAGACTTTTTTCTTTTTGGTTAATGATGGTTAAAAGTTGTGGTTTGTAAACGTTTTGGCTTTTGAAGTGAGACATGCCAGAAAATCCTCAAAATCCTGTACTACTGCATTCATGTTTCATCTATTATTATTAAGTAATCACATCAGTCCCCAGTGTCTCTTTAATGACTTCCTTTTATAAAACTGTTCCTGGCTTTCTGTCTCTGTTGCAGGGAGATAAAATTAATAAAGAGTGATTTATTTTGAGGTGTCTACAAATGACTGGTTACCTATTGTAAAAACGCCCTGCTCACTGATTCACACATGTGTTGAGTCGGTAAATATGCACAGGTAGATTAAAAAGTAAGGCTAACACCGTATCGAACAGCCAATCAGCAAATGAGGGGCGGCGTCTTTGCTAGTGACAAAGGATACTCAACATTTCCGGCACTAGAAAAGGAGCCTTACAGTTAACGCTTTCTAGGGAAACTTAATGATGACGAAGACTGCTTGTTATATGTGTGGATTTCATGCATGTTTCTGAATGTATAAGTGCGCATGTAGTTCTGTTAGGTGTCATCAGTTGCTATGAGCTCGCCCCCGTTGACAACCCTGTCTCCCACGTCTCCATAACTAGAATTACAGCTACAGTGACCTACTTATTGTAGAACCTGGTCCAACTTTGGAAAAGCAAGCGTTTGTGGGCACTGCTAGCCAAAAGTAAATAGTGAGATGCACAACCATGTCTTTATCTGCTGCATGCAAAACATAATCCATCTTTTTCATTGAATTACTGTTTAAAAATGTGCTTTTTAAAGCTTTCTTCTCTCACGCTGAGGCATGTATCATACCCTTGTCTTAAGGCATAAGGATCAGCTGTGTTTAGATTCAGTTATCTGAACATTAAACTGCTGAAAATATGATATGTAAGCGAAGTGTCATGTGAGTGCAGACATTTCACTTTTCGCTGCCAGCACATTTTAAAGAGCCCCTTACTCTGCCTGTGAGGCCCTGGTGTTTGTTGCTGCCCTTTGGCATATTAAGTTTCAGATGTGCAAATCTCATGGCCGTTCATGGCTGCTAGTGGAAATTTCCACTGCTCTTCATACAGCATCTTGTGTATTATAATGCTGAGGGCTGATAACAAGAAACTGTACAACACATTTAAAAGTTTAGGCGTTGTTTTAAAAGCAGTTTGGTGTTTATTTATATAGGTAACGTTTTTTTTTCCTTTTTTTAAGCTTTTAACTACTTTTTCCTCTTTGGAACCCAGTGGCAGTAAAACTCATCAGCTGCTAGACAAAAGAAAGTAGAAACATAGAGGGATCATGTGGTACTCGTTCAAAAAGGTTCAGTTTCTATTGATCAGAAGTTCAAGGCAGGATTGTGGGTGTTGGAGGTGGGGTGTGTTCTTTACGTTTAAGGTTTACAAACAGTGAGTTATATCATTAATAAGTTACACAATGCTCATCAGGAGGTGTGGTGATGAGCAAATGGATAGGGAAGGTTCCTATCCTGGGTTGTTCATTGAAAATATTAGGTCTGTATCCAAGGGTGACCCTTTTTAACGTTCTTAGAAGGACTTTATTCTGTAGTGGCTACATTGTCGTCTGGTTTGTTTTAGTGGGTTTAACGTACGTCTAGATTTTTCTATCAGGCTGACCTATCAGACTCAAGTAGATGTGAATGTTTTACAGTGTGAAACAACTGCATAACATTGTTTTGCTTTCAGTCTGTTGCACAGATAAATCATGAGTCACTGGCTTACTGGAAAAGTTCCTTCATGGGTTGCAGTCAGTTAAAAAAAAGTTATGAAATAGTTTAAAAGTTGAAACTGCCTGCCAGCAGAGGTGAAAAAGTGCAGTCTGAGACATTGTCTTTGCTCCTCTCTTAGTTAGGAAGTTGATGTTATCCCCAGGAGAAGCACAGTGTTCCGACAAATGGGAAGCAACAGCTCTCCCATTATTTTTTCCGGCTTGTTTTTGTCTCGGGTCTAAGGAGAGCTGTTGCTTCAAATTAAACGGAGTTGAAAGTTTGTGATCAAATCAGAATCAGGCTCAGTTGTAGGTAGGAACAAAACAAACACAGACTGCGAATGTACACAAATATTTGAAGTTTCATTGATTTTTTTTCTTCATGTGTGTCCTTATGATGACTTTCTTTTGTAGAAAATTGATTGGAGACTTCCCAGTAAGTTAGGCAGCACGTGTTTATCTTCACTTTATAAAACTGTGGAAACAATCTGAGTTAAGTTTTTCAGTTTTCTCTGGTTAGGGAAATGTTCTGCACGTGCTGGCTGGCTTTATCAGTGCTCGCTTTATAATTTTACTATGTTTGTATAACCAAATATCTTCATAGCTATAAACACAATGTAAAAAAAAACAAAAACAAAAACGTGGACTCAATTGTAGTTACATTTATTGGGAGGGGCACACCAGGTTACGTAGACGGTTGCGGCGTAGGGTTAGGTGGGGTTCCACTTATGGTGTAAGTTACGACGTAGATCTGACGCACAAGTATAATTTGCGTGTAATTGTTCCTCTTGTCACGTATTACATGGTTGTTGTTTTTACAGTCTGCTGCTGACCTTCATGATGTTATGTGCCCTGTGTATTGTGTTTAAGTACACCCTGCTGACACAAAAACAACAAATTCTGCAGATACACCCTGATAATGTTGTTGTTTTTTTTTGTTTTTTTTAATCCCATGATTCGGCAGGCAAAATGTATCCTTTGTGTCCTTTAGTCATTGTGCTGTGGCACTGTACTTTGGGCATTGTGCAGTCAGTTCTGCTAAAATAGTCGTGTATGTAACCGCTTGACGATAGCGATGCCTGATTCTGCTGCTTGTGACACGCATCACAAGCTTACGTGTGTTCAGCATTAACGCAAAATACTGAACATTTCAGTGTTCAGTTGTGAACATTTTATGAGGAACTCCTTTGCCCGTCATGCCTCTTCCTGTGTGTATTCATCCCCAAGATGTGACATTAAACTGAAGAATTGTGATTGGTCGTGTGGATCATGCAACTTCTTGAAATAAACTCTGTGCAAGAATATGCTGTTATCATTAGGAAACCCACATATAGGAGCTCGATGTGGAGTAACTCTTTCTAGTCCCATCGCACATGAATCTGGACAATAAAATATCAGAGGTCAGACAAAAGGTGAACATCATAAGTCATGTTTCCCTCATTTGTACTTTGCACGTACTCGTTTCTATTTTACTCTTGATGAAAATAGAATAATTACTTTTGCTTTGTTTTTCTTCAATCATGTCTCACAAAGCCATGCACAAGGAATGCGAAGATTTTCCCACTCATCCTCATTTCCAATGCATCTGCAGTGTGCATAGCCTTCTTGCTGGTTACGTAATGGGGTGAGGCCGTGTAAAAATGTCTGAGGGACACAGGCAGGTGGTGAAAGAAAGGGAGGAATGAGGAGAGCAGATTTAATACAAAAAGAATGATTTATATCGCCCAGTTCACAGTGGCTCCTTTTCTAATACTCTCCTGTGTTTGACAACGTGATACCTCTCCCCCCACGCACACACACACACACACACACACACACAGAAATTGGAGGTATGTAAGTTGTTGACTGCAAGGGGGTTATATTTCAAGATCTTGATGTACCCACGACCTTGTCAGTCAGCGAATCTTGATACTGAAGGGATGCTGCACAGAGTGAAAGACAGCCTCGTGGTTTAGGGCAAAAGACTTCTTAAACCTATCTTTCAGTGTGATCGTATTAGCCGTGACCAGCATACCTAAATGACACATCCCAGTAACCAGATCCTACATGTCTCTCATATAGCAAGCAATAAAACCATAAAGGTAGAGTCATATCTGTGCTGGATTTCAGAGAAACAGAGTTAAAGTTCATGGGTCACATGTCAGTTTATGTGCTTTTGTTTACTTTGTGATGTTTAAGAACTGTGGAAAGAATTGTTTTTAGTCTCATTATTGTATTTAAACTGTTCCCCATTGACAAAATGCCACTCTTTATGAATGACATTTAAAAACTTAATAATAAAAAATAATACTAGAAATATAAAAGTATATAATACGACTAAATACTAGTAGGGTTTTAGTTTTAGTCCAATTTTCCGGCGTCTGTTTTTCCAGATTGTGCTGAAGACCTCTGTCCTAATTATCTACTATGAGGAACAGATTTGTCAGTGTGTCGCACTCAGATTTCTCCAGAGGTGTTTGCACAGCATGTTTCTGTGGTTAGTTAAGCTCGGGTTTGATGCTGCGGCTGTGTTGGTTGGACATTGTTGACCAATATTGGCCTGATATGTCAGACAGAAGCTTTTTTCCTTTGAACTTGAATGCAGATAAAGGAACTGTGTCTTACAGTAGTTACAGTAGTTTGTCCACTTTGCCTCCATTGTTTCTTTGTCTCACAAATAACAGAGCATGCGTCACAATGCGGTTTGGAGTTGAGCCGTGTCTCCAACCTTCCATCTCTACAGTTTGTAAGTCGGAATTGGCCCCAAAACTTCAGTTTTGTCTCAGCTCTTGTTAATACAGAGAAGCCAAAAAGAGTGAGAGAGCAGAGAGGGGCTCGAGTTTGGCAGGGAGCCTTTATGAACAGGGCGCAGATATGATCCAAACAAGTCAACAGATGCACTCAGTGAAAAGGCTCTCAAGGACACAGCATGCCACATTTTAAAGGCCTGTGTTACAGATAGATGCACACTTTTCTGCTCTTCAGCATGAAAGCACCACTAGGGTATGTATGTGTGACTTTCTTTATTCTATATTTAACAAAAATATAAGTGATACAGTCTGGAGGTAATTTCATTAACATGTAGTTGTGTAACTTGGTAGCTTGAACTACTCGAAGAAATGTGTGAACTGACGCAAGATTGCAAAAGAGGACTAATCTTGTAAGTGAAAGTGTGTGTTTTGTTTTCAAGTTTTGGAGGTGTTTCTGGAGGTGTTTCTCACATTGTGTCAAAGGTACGCAGCACAGAGGCATGTTTGTTATCGGATAACAAGAGCATGGTTGCCTGGACTGTGTTTGTGAAGAAGACAGTTGAGCTCGGGGCTTGAGTTTGGCACATGTGAGGCTACCAAGCTTCAGTTAGCTGGCAAAATTATAAACTAAAATGTCTTTTTTGCTGCTTGTTCATGAATGATTAAACTCATAGGACCACCGGGAGCCCTATGAGTTTAGGATATTTGAAATTGAATATAATAGACTTTCCCTGATGTTCGTGTAATACTCTGATCTCTACATGCACCACAATGTTTTGCAGGCCATCAGAGGATGTAAAAGAAACTGTTATTAAAGTCACAAGAATTTTATTTCTATTCTGAGTCAGCAATTGTCTTTTCAAAGTGTCTTTGGAGGAAAAAACAAACAAAAAACTCGTGGCAACCGTTAGCTTTTGAGTTCAATAGTCTCTCTTCTGAAGACGGCACGCTAGCTTCATTCCTTATCTAAGCTATGCTTATCTTAAACACTGGATTCCATCCTCTGGGATGTGATACTTACACATACAATTTGGGCTCAGTTTCCTCTGAGATACTACTCAAGCTTGACCTGGCTGTTGTGCCTAATATTTGGGACATTTTTCCTGTTTCATCCCCCTTTAAACTGGTGACTCCATGTGCTCAGTTCACTCAGAGCTCTTTATATTTAAGGGATAAATCTCGGTCCTCGTAGCTTTTACAGTCTGTTTCTAAGCGGACAGTTTCAAAGTCATGCTGAGCCACTGAAACATTTGTTAGAAGGAGAACATCAGGTCCTTTACTTCTCCTGTATCATAAACCATGTGCCTTGCATTGCTCTTGTGTAAGAGACGCTGTGCCAACCACGTTTATGTATGGATGACTTGCAGCTCTGGAGCAAGGCAGCTATCATGATTGCTAATACCAGCTGGAGTAATGTCATGTACAAGTGCCTCGAAATAAAACTAAGAAAGTGCTCACCATATGGAGGTGACTCTGTTATGTAATAGAAAGCATTTTTTTGGGAGGGGGGTGGACAGTTATACAGTGAGCAGGGGATTGTTAATGGCCTCAGTAAAGCCTCCAAAACTTTCCACTCGGGAAGTGTACAGGAATGAAGCCTTTAGGGAAGAGGGAGGAGCACAAGACACGGGTCCAAAAGGAGCAAAAGCTATTCCTGTCCCCGCTCCTCATCTTCTGTGGGTAGGCTCAGACATGCCTAGTCTTGTCCTTTTTCATAAGTTGAGTAAGAGCACTTGGCCAGTTTATCCTTGTTAGTGTTCCTTGGATTTGATGGATTAAGTTTATCAGAAGTACAAACATGGAAGAAAATATTAAACAAAAGTTGCCTGCACATGTGTTTACACTCTTTTTAAATTATATAAATGCATAAATAAGCAATTTTTTCTGTTCTCTTGCCTTGTTTTGGTAGAAACTAAGCTTTAGTGATTCGATACCAAGAGGTCGTAAATGCTATAATGTCACAGTTGTGCTTTCTGAGTTGCCCTTTATTACTCATTGCATCATTGCCCTGCTGTTTGTTTTCATTGCAGATTCTGAGGTTTAAGTTTACCTTCATGCAGGATGGTTTTTGTCTTTGGACAACAAGTCCCAGTTAACCCGTGTTTTATCATTGTTTATTATATCATTGTATTTTATATCACTTCATCAAGGTTAACTAATTGTAACACAGTTATATGGTATTACAGTTAAGCAGCACTTCTAAAATGATGACATGCCCTCAGCTCCAGCTCCTTAGAGTCATTTAGTTTTCTTACTGGTACAAAGGGTTTTTCTTTCTGTGGACTGTGTTGGTGTCTGGAAGTACTTATGTCCATTTGTGTCTTTCCATCCAGGCTATCCATGAGCTCCGATTTCCCACACTACAGTTTCAGGATGCCAAATATAGGGTTCCAGAACCTTCCCCTTAACATCTACATTGTGGTGTTTGGGACAGCCATCTTTGTCTTCATCCTCAGCCTCCTCTTCTGCTGCTACTTAATAAGGTAAGAGTCATGCAGACTTTAGCTTGGGATCAGCGGAGG